GTAAATTTTATTTTGTTCTATTGTTTTTTTCATAACAATATTTCTTGCGAAAATCAATCATTAAAAAAATTAAACTTGCTACTTTAAAAACTATTCAAACAAATCAAAATATATTTTTATATATACAGGAGTTTTAATAAAAAGCTCTAAGACACTTTCTCTTTAAAAAAAGATAGTAAGCTGCTGAAGTTTGATAGTCGTTTCAGCATCCGAAACCTTTTAATCAGCTATTAGTGTAGCAAGGCGATGGCAATTATTCGTACAAGATTTATCTATCACGTTAAGTTGCCTTATTATATTTTTAGATTATTTTATTCAAAACAGAATTTCTGTAAAAATTGTGTTCTAGAATAAATAGCGCTTTTGCTGAAACTCCAACCTGACTATTAATATCAGCCAAACTTAACAACTTTATTGCTTTAGTTGTATCAGTAGGAATTAAGACAGGAAATGAACAACTAAACCCTCTTCCAGACTGATAATTAATCTTCATTCTTCATTCTAATTGATTTTTAGAAAATGCATTTTTTATTCTTTGTTCATTTAATCATATATTGGTCAAGGCATTTTTATGTTCTTTACTTGTAAGTTTTGCAGGTATGCCAACTTGCCTACCATAAAATATAGTTAACTTGATACAATCATAGTTTTTTAATTTAATAAAGGAATGGGAATCAGTTATTTCCTATTTCCTAGTTAGTCTTGTTTTTTATTTAGTATTGTTTTCTAACTTGTATTCTATTCTATATCAGTAGTCATGCATTCTCCTAACTAAACCATTGTAGATCACAAATATAAGAGAATTTTGTCCACTACAATATGGCGAACAAAACCATCTTGTCAACTGTTAAATAACTAAAAATAACTATCTTAAAAAATATAGATCTAATTACTATACTAATGTGTCTAATAACTAATCATAAGACACTTGTATATTACTAGTTATTAGACATTAGTTTTAGATAGTATTATTCTGTATGATACAGGCGTTGTAGTTTAGGCAGGAATAACTATAAAGAGTTTAAGACTGTTAACAGTCAAAAACTCTTTATAGTTATTACTGTCTAAACTATAATACCTATACCATACAGATTAATACTGCTAGTTGCACTAGCAGTACTAATCTAAATGCTTATTAGAAGTCAAATACACTAGTAGTATATTACACTTCTAATAGGTTGTCTAGTTTACTATATAGCAATAATATTTCTTTTATAAAAGCACCTAAATATTTCGAAAAAAAGAAAAAAGATTTTAAAATAAGATTCTTAAAGTTAGTGTTAATAATAAAAAGGTTCAGCTACAATATAAGCAAACAATATAAACATACAAAATTTTCAAAATAAAGAAATCAAAACAAAAACATTCATAAAAAACAACAAGTTTCCGGGAAAAGCGACTCCGCATGGTAAGGAAATTCGTTTGAAATACGAGAAAAATGGAAATGACTTAAAGTAAAACTGTATATCTCCTATATTTCATATATATGTTGTATTTGCAATGTTATCCGTTAATAAACTCTCAAAACTTTAACTGAGCGACAGAAAAAACATTTTTAACTCCATAACAGCATGTAATATACAGTTAAACTTCATAATTTTCAAGATATTAAGTGCCGTCGACTTTACGTCGATGTTTTGAATTTGTTTACATATATAAGCTTAAAATGAGATATTTAAAAAACTGTTCATCAACGGCATATAAAAAAAACAAATTTGTATTTTTAATCAAAAATAATAATAGAATAATAAAAATTTTAATAGAAATAAAAAAAAAAAAATTATAGGTAAGACTGAATTTGATAAAACTTAAATGAAAAACGTTAAGTCGACTCGATTTTGTCGACTTTTTACTCAAGTCGACTTTCCGTTGAAATTTTTCACACGATTTGTCGACTTTAAGGTGATCTAGTTATATATATATATATATATATATATATATATATATATATATATATATATATATTACAACCACTTATTCTCGTAATTCAATCCATAAATGTTGAATAAGAGAATTTCATTACTCTTACTACTTCTTTTCGTGATACAATCTGTTTTAAAATATATTACCAACACTTCTTCTCCTAATTCACTCTGTAAATGTTGAATTAAAAATAATTTTTCTACTTTTTCTCCTTTCATAAAGAAAATTTTTTATTTTGAACTTTTATTTGTTTTGGTAAAAAAATTAATAATATAAGAATGTCTGTTTATGTAAAAAGATGCTATTATTTACATTTAACAAAAACATTTAAACACATTTAACAAAACTAAAGGACATAATGAATATTCCTTAATGTTACACATGCGTACCAATACGTAAAATTTAATATAAAGCCAATATTGGCAAACAATATTTCGCCAATATTGGCATAACAATATTAGTAAAACGATAATGGCACAATATTGGCGCAATATTGTTTGCTAATACTGGTAAGACAATTTTGGCGTAATACTGCTTGACAATAATGGCGTAATATCGGATATCTTGGCCGAGATTAGCCAAGATACCCAATATCGCGCCAATATTACGCCAATATTGTTTGCTACTTGGGAACTCTACCCAACTAAATGGAGAAGTAAAAAGATCTGACCCATGAAATATCAGAAACATGAAAAGATGCACATTTATGCATACATAGTATGGATAACAACAAAAATAAGGAAGGCTAAAACCAAATTATGATGATGATGATGATGATGATGATGATGATGATGATGATGATGATGATGATGATGATGATGATGATGATGATGACCATGTTTATCTACGGTAACGCCACGAAAATCGTTCGTTAAGGCAACCTTTTTTGGTTTTGTAACGAAAAAGTTCTGAAATGCAACTTACCGATTCGGTAAGTCATCACGCAATTTTTTTAAAATGTTTACATTCGGTATTGTCACCTCCGCGAAAAATAAACTTTAATCCTCCATTGCAGCTAGCGGAATTATGTTATGATAAGGTGCTTTAAGCTTAATCTTACAAGATGAACCTTATATTTTTTTAAATATTTTATTATACATAGTTTACAAGTATTTAATGTGATCATAGTTGTCATATGATGTCAAGTAGATATATTTTCTAATAAATTAATTAGTACAATTTATGTTACAGTCAATTTTATATTTATATGTTGCATGAACTTTACAATTATATGTTGTATGAACTTCATTGCAACATAGCTTAATTTGGATAAACTTAATGAAACAAATAGGAATTTACTCGATAATAATTTAATTTAATAATTTGATTTAATCGATAACATAAATTAATAGTAATACAAATTGAACTAATTAACTTATTACAAAGTATATCTACTTGACATAAATATATTATACATATATATATATATATATATATATATATATATATATATATATATATATATATATATATATATATATATATATATATATATATATATATATACATATATATGCATATATATATGTATGTATATATATATATATATATATATATATATAAATATATATATATATGCATATATATATGTATGTATATATATATATATATATATATATATATATATATATATATATATATATATATATATATATATATATATATATATATATATATATATATATATATATATATATATATATATATATATATATATATATATATATATGTATATATGTGTATGTATATATATATGCATATATATATGTATGTATATATATATATATATATATATATATATATATATATATATATATATATATATATATTTATATATGCATATATATATATATATATATATATTATAAAGTATATCTACTTGACATCAATATATTTTACATAATATATATATATATATATATATATATATATATATATATATATATATATATATATATATATATATATATATATATATAATATTAATATTATTTATATATATATATATATATTTTTTAAATAAATTTGAAATATTCAAATTTATTTTTACATTAGAAATGGTTTTGTGCGCCCTGTGTAGCTGTGATGCATCTATTTCTGGTGCTTCTTGTGTACTGTGCAAAAAAGTGATTGATAGTAAATGTCATGGAGGCACTATAGGAGATGAAAATATTATCTGTAAAGCATGCGCAAGTATTAAAGCTATAAATATAGCTTTCATAATTGTATTATTATAAATAAAGTATAAAAACTATGATATTGTGTACTATTAATTGCAAAAAAAGAATTTTTTTTATAATTGTAAATAAAACTATTTTCTTTTAAAGATGTTCCTATCAATCCTAATGAAATTGATGATATGGTTGTGTCAGGTAAATATAACAGACTATTAGCTAAATTTAATTTTTGTATGTCTAATTTTAATAGTTTAAAATGAAATTTTATTTAAACTGTCAGTTACTTTAGTCTTTAGAAAGTTTAGTTCTGAAAGTTTAAAAGAAATTGCTTCATCGCAACTATTAAAATCAATTTTTTCTGGTCAAGTTAGTATTATTAATATCTTTATATAAATATTATTAATGAAAGTAGGTGGGGAAGGGTTAGACAATAAAGCTTATAAAATTACCACCTTATTCACATATAACTCATCTTTATGATATTTAGTTAGATTAATAATTAAAATTAGTAAAAAAAAAATCATTTGTATGTAAAAAAATAAACATATTTTGTATAAGGAATGGTGTAATCTTCAAATAAAAATTTGTATCATTTGTATTTAAACATTTTTTTCAGTTATATAGCTACAGACATAATATTTATAAAGCTGGAGGTAGCGAAAAAAGTAAGTTAAATTTTTTAACACGTTGACCGCATTGTGTATCCATATGTATACACGCGTAAACTCTCGTTTCTTCAAGTCGTGTATCCATATGGATACACGATTTTGATAGTAAATTTATTTTTGTTAATTTTAAGTATTCTAATTTTTACTTGTTTCCAATTGTTTCTTTATATTTATCAATTCTTAAAATTTAATGGCGTTTAAATAGATAGCGTTTTAAGAAAAAAAACTTCGTTCAAATTATAAAAAACACTGTGGTAAAAGATAACTTTATTTGAAAAAAATAAAACAGAAAATAACATTAGAATTAAAAAAAACCGTTATAACAAAAAAATAAAATCAACATAATCAATAAAATCAACATTTAGTATGACATTTTTGAAAACAAGCTAAACAAAAAGGTTTTAAACAATTATCACATCTTGTCTTAATTTGACTAGCACGATTCCTGGCAATTGTGGCACCAAATTCTTTTGATAATTTGTTGTAGCATTCAGTACAACGTCGTTTTCGAATAGTTCCTTCTCCTGGTTCTTTTTCAAGTTGATGTTTTCGTCCAGAAGATGTTGGCTTTTCCAGTTGCAAAATTGATGAGACAATATCTCTTTTGAATTGTACAATTTTGATATTTTTTCCGCTATGTAATTTATAAAGATGCAGAGCATTAACAATGGAAACTTGAGTAATTATATGAAAAAAGATTCTGAGGTACCATTTCATTGTTTTACGTACGTATGGACAATAAGAGCCCAATTGGTCAGATAGATCGTTAAACGATTTCCCTTTATTGTAATCTACGATAACAGCAGGTTTTCCTCTCTCCGTAATGCTACCATCGTGAATAGATGAAAGCATTATAACTTCTCTTTTATCTTTCCATTTTAAAATCATAATACCATCACCATTTTGTTCTGCAACATAATCACCTTTCTTCAATTTCAGAGAAGTTACGTGTTTTGGAAATCCAATTCTATTTTTTCGGCCGTCCCAACTAAGTTTGTCTTGTTTTCCAATAAAGATTTCGCCAAATTCATACTTGTATACCAGTTATCTGTATACAGAATTCTGCCATGTCCAAGAAGGTTTTCCATTAGTTTTAAAACTACACGTTCTGCCACAGAACCATATCTTGGCTGGTCCTCTTTACCGGCATAAATTGATAAATTATAAGTGTATCCGTTGTTGCTACACAATTTAAAGATTTTGATGCCATATTTATGCCTTTTACTAGGAATATACATACGAAATCGAAGTCTGCCGCGAAAGGGTATCATGCTTTCGTCAATGCATATATCTCTGCCTGGAACCAGTAAGTGTTGACATCTGGCAATGAACAAGTTGACAAATTTTTCTATTTTATATAATTTTGATCCATTATTGTTGTCATTGTCAGCGAAGTGGAGGGATCTCATCAAAGAATAAAATCTTTTCCTTGTCATTACACCTCCACATATTGCTTTACCGCTAATAGCAGGGTCAGAGGACCAATAATCATCGAGTTTAGGCAGAACAACATATCCCATTTGCAAAATGATAGCCATAAATTTTCGCATTTCCATATTATTTGTCGGCAAATAGTTTGAATCCTTTGTTGGTCCATAACGATTAGTTTCTTCCACAATAAAATCGATAAGTTCGTTGTTCATAAATAAGTTATAGTAATCGACAGGTTCTTTGCAATCCATTACCATATCCATATTCATGCCCGCAGTTCCGTCATCAAAATCCCATCTTAAAGGTTTCTGCACATTTTTCGACCATTCTTCTGAACCATCATCACTACCACCATCAGTTGATTCACTATCAGCACTATCGGATTCATCAGATTCGTCCTGTTGAATTGTTTCCATTAAATCAGAATCATGTTCGTCATCACTTTGTAACAGCAACCTTTCAAAGCTATCGTTTAATTCAATATTATCATCAGCCATTCTAATAAATAAGAAAAATTAATAGCTAGAAAATAATAAAAATTTACGATTGTATCAAAAAATTAGTAATATCAATCAAGTATTTGAGGAAAAAAGTTGAAAACTGTTAAGTTTCGACAGTCAAGTTTTCTTTCAGTCGATCACAATTATTTATTCAACAATATTTAAAGTCCATACAATTGCTGAACTGGTGTTTAGCAGAAAACGCTAGGTTTATATACCCGTTTATCGGCGTGCTGGAAGGTTCTGGAACATTTTGGAAAAATATATTTTTAAATATTTAAAAGTTAAATAGTTTAGGTTTTGAGAAAATTATTGTTCGAATGTTCAAACAAAAACTAAAAATTATTAAAAAAAAAAAACTCCTCTTTGACTTATTTGTGTATACATATGTATACACGAAATATTCAAAAAAAAAAAGATTATTTGGCAATGTGATTTTTTCAAAAAAAGGCAAGGCGGTCAACGTGTTAAATTTGTTTTTAAATTTTTTAGCCAGTTAAAAAGAAAGTATCAATCTAAATTTTATTTTTTTAAATATTTTTTTAAAATATTGCTGACATTTACTTTATTATTTATTTTTATTTTTTGTAGTTTTATTATTAACTATTATTCATATAATTTCATAAAAAAATTATATGACTATTTTAAGGACACCTTTGTGATATGGATTTAAGATCACTTTTAACGGAAGATCAAAGCAATGTACTTTTTACGAGTTTAGTAACTTCGTTCAGAGAGCTAAAGTTAAGATACTGAACAACTTTTCTAAAAATACATCTTTTTTGATTTAATTGTGATTTAGTTGTGATCATAAATAGTTTTAATGATCAAAATACAAAATTACTAATTGATCATAATGCATTTTATCAGTTACATACATTTTATACCATAGCCTTTTGTTAGTTTTTTGATTTTTTCTCAACTATTATTTATTTTTTTCATATGTTTCAGAATCATTGTTTTAAAATTTATAACTGTATGAGGTTTTTTTTTTTTTTTAGAAAAATTTATTTATAAAAAATTTCTTTTTATTTTTAGAATGCAGATTATGTCTTTAGGGTGCTTGTCCCTGAGGCCATCATATATCTTTTTGCAAAGTTTATGCTAGTTTCTAGAATTCAAGTACTGAAAAAAATATATATATATATAATTTTGATAAATTATGTATTTTTTTTATTGTTGTTTGTGTATTATTTTTTATTTTCAGGCAGAAGTGACTTTTTATGCATATATTTCAAAGCGGTGTGTATAATTAATAAAAAAAAAAAACAATATGTTTCTATTTGTAGTTAGTAGTGTATAAATAATATAATATAATAGTGCATATTAAAATACCTATATAGTTTTAAGATTTTTAAGAAACAGTCAAAATGTTTTAATGTTTTTAGAAATACAGAGGTTTTGCAAGATGAATCAAGTGATTCAGAATGCTCATTGGTTAATGTAAAGGATTTCACAGGTTTTTTTTATTATTTTAATTTTTTCTAAATTTTTTTTTTTTAATTTTGTTTCTGTCAGGCGTTCAAAATTTAGTTAAAGGGAATCTTTGTTGAATATTAATATATATTAGAAGTATTATATTTTTATTAATATAGAATTTAAATCTAAGTTTTGAAAGTTTTAACCCTAAATTTTTAGAAACTTGCATTGTTCTGTCTGAGAGTGAGGTACTTAATGATTAATTACTAGTAGTTTTTATTGCATCTTAAATTTTTTAAATATCATTAAACAACTATAATGAAATTTAGTTGTTTTATAAAGAAATTATACTAATTAAAAATCTATTTATTGTATTTGTTATATATGTGTAAATATAAATAAATATAGATGAATTATTTAACATTGATTTTCAGGTATCTTTAAGTGATATTGATTTTAAATTAGTTGAAAGTAATTCTGAATCTAAATTTGAATGCATAGATACCACTGATATGGTATGTAACAGTTGTATTTTTGATGCCCATATTTATAATAATAATATTATATATATATATATATGTGTGTGTGTGTGTGTGTGTGTGTGTGTGTGTGTGTGTGTGTGTGATAAATTTTTCAATGTGAGATATGTTTATTGAATTTTTATAGTTACACATGTTATTTTTAGGAAAGTGCAGTAAAGCGTCTCCTTGATGAATTAGTAATAAAGGTACAATTAAGTCATTTTAAAGATTTTCACTTCATTATTTTCAAATGTTGAGTTTTAAATGTTTGTATTCTAATTTTAAAAAATGTTGTGTTTTTAACATTGCTAAAATTTTAGTTTTTTTTTTTAGGTTTCTTCATATCAGGAGAATAATTTTTGTGGTAAACTACCTTTTGAGGCTTGCGAAAATATTAAAATGGTTATTATAAAATTCTTACTATTAATGTTTTAAAGTTAATATTAATGATTTAAAGTAAATAAAAATTAATGAACGACTAATTACATTAAAAAAAATATTTTTAGGCTCATGATCAAGGTTTAATTATTGATGAGAAAGAGAAAAAATCAAAAATTAAAACAGTTGATGAAGTACTTCAAAAGGTAACTTGAATATTAGAAAAAAAAGTACAACAAAGTTTTTAATAAAGATAGTTTTATATTAAAGTTTTTAGTTTTTTATTAAAGGTAGGAAAGTAGTTTTAAATATTAAAATTATGTTTTTCATTCATTTTTTCAGAGAAAAAAAATAACCAGTAAAAAAGACCTTTCTTTCAAAGAATGCAATGAAAATAATTTTGAGAGTATGATAACTGTATTTATGAAATCTGGAAAGGTTTTGGAAGCAGAGAAGGCATGTATTTACTCAAATATTTTCATTTATATGTAAATACATTGTAAAATCTTTTATATAATTTTACAATTTATATATATATATATATATATATATATATATATATATATATATATATATGTATATATATATATATATATATATATATATATATATATATATATATATATATATATATATATATATATATATATATATTAAGTTCTACACGAAAAAATTTGTTTTAACTTCCTTCAATATTTTACAATTTACCTCTTAAAAGATATACATCCGGTCTGTTACTAATAAAATTGAAAAACAAAATGTGGTGTTGTGTTGGGGCATCAGTTTTGTTTTTCTGCTGTCAGCTATGTTTGTCAAGGCTTGTGTTTTTGAGTTACAGTCTTTAAAGGGGGTTTTAACAACAATTAAAAAATTAATAAAAAGTTAGAGCTTTCTTGACTATAGTCAGGGCCTATTACAGGAAAAAAATTTGGGCGGCGGTTCCCCCATCAATTCGGTAAACTTTGACGAAAAATTGGCGTTTTTTTGCAAAAAAAACAAAAACAATATTTGCCATAAAAAAAGAGTTTTCCATATCTATTTTTTTAATATCATTTATTTTGTTTATTATCTTTTAATTATTATTTTGTCTTTGCTATAGATGTTCAAAAAATGGGTATCTTCAAAGAAACAAGTTAAGTTAAAAAAGCAAGAAGTTTATCCTCGCGAAAAAGTCAAGTGCCCAATATGTTACAAATGTGTTGTTAACTTCCCTAGACATTTACGATCATCGAAGCATAAAGTAAGTAAAGAAGATGCTCGTATAGCTAGAGGAGTTTATGGATTAAGAAAATCAGCTGTTGCAAGTTCAGAAGCTAAAAAAACTGTAAAATATGTTTGTCCAATGTGCAAAGCTGTTGTGAAGCGTATTCACGACCACTTATACAAGTCTCCACATTATCTTAAAAATGAACCTGAAAAGTATAGAGAAATGCTTCAAAAAAAAACTATTTTTGAAAAAGTAAATCATATTACAGTTCCTTTAAAGCACCAGCAAAATTACAATTTTCAGCAGTCATTTGATTCAAATGTTTCACTTGATCAATTCAATATTCAAAACCCGGAATCACCATCTATTAGTAATCGTACCAAATCTATTGATGATGAACCCACTTTTAAAGATTATCTTGAAATCTTTTGCCTTTATTTAAAGAGTCGATCCGGAGGTAATAAAGATTTAAAATCTGCATCCAATGAGATGGGTCAAGTCAGGAGAATAATGGAGGTTTTGTCTTCAGATGATCCATGCTATGATAAATTTTTTGACCTCGAGCGATTACAAACACTTTGGTTTCCTCATGCGCAAAGAATGATGTATGAACCTGGAACAAAAAGGTCATACTTGTTATCCTTAAGCCACTTCATAGATTTCTTAATTCGTTCAAAATTAACTCCAAATGTTCCTTATGTTGTAGCAGTCACTAAAGTAGAGGCTGATGTTATGCTTGTTTGTCAGAACGAAATTTCTAAATGGAGACAATCTTTGAGAGCTGAGGAGGAGGAGAGGCAGTTTGATGTTTTAATTCAAGACGGTGAAAAAATGATCCCAAAAGAATACTTTAAGGCTATTCTTGATAGCAACTTCAATGTCACAGTTATAAAAAAAATTAAAGAGATACACTGTCAATACTCTTTAAAACCAAACGAATTTATTTTAACACGCAGTTTATACACAAATACCAGAGACTGCATTTTCTTTAAAATGGTATGTGATAATATCTCTCGGTCGGGAGCTATCGCAAATCTGACATTAGAAGAGTATTTAAAAGGAACTTTTACTCCAACAGGTTTGTATGTTGCGTTGGTGAGAAAACACAAGACCTTTAAAAAATATGGACCCTGCCAAATTGTTATTAATTCAGAACTTAAATTTTTGTGTGACTGCTTTTATAAAATTATAAGAAATGGTGTTCCAGGACATAAATCAGAAAATATGTTTGTTACATGGTCAGGATGTAGTTTGGAATCAGGTGGTGTATCAACCCAGTTAAGTTCATATTTTTCAAAATGTTTACCAGACAGTGTTAGCCTTGGAAATGTTAGTGCTACTTTAATAAGAAAAAGTTTATTAACGTTTTTTTATGATAATTACCCTGATATGAAAAAAGACCTTGCTACTTTAATGAAGCACAAACAAAGTACTGGAGAGAAATGGTATTATTTAAACCAAACTAAAAAAGAAGTTTCTGGCACTTCTGAAAAGATTTCAAATGTAATTTTTGGCTCTCAACCAGACATTTATACCATTGAAAATGCAATGCCCAACAATTCTTTAATTGGAAGTCCCATATCAAATGTTACAGATAACGATCTATTTAGTGAGAATGAGGAAGATGATAATGAAAGCGATTGGGATGGTGTTACAGGTTCGTTGATGACAAGTAAAAAAATATCTTGGACTACGCTTGAAGTGGATGAATTAAAAAAAATTTTCAAAATCGATTCTACAAGTTCATTTAACCAATCTAACATACGAATGATGATTTCAGGAAATGATATTTTAAAAAACCGCAATGCCAAACAAGTTTACGACAAATTAAGCCATCTTCAAAAAAATGCATTAAAAGGAGATTTACAAGAACTTAATAAAAAAGAGTGCATGACAAAAAAAGTTGTTTTTCCAACAAAGTATACTAACTTAATCAGGGTTATTTTTTCAAAGGAAATAGCTGGTAAACTTTTAACAACTGAAAAAGATGTTTATAATAAAATTAACCAAACCGAAAAAGCAAAAGAGATGCTTAATGAATTTTCAATAAAACAAATTCTAACAAAAATACGATACGAAAAGGCAAAGTTAAGAATGAAAAAAAAGTAATTCTTTGTATATTTTAACGTTTATAATATTTTAACGTTTATAACATTTTAAAGTTTATTACATTCAAAGTTTTGTTAGAATTTCTTACTTTTAAAAGGTCCATGACTCTTATCTTAATTTTATTTATAACTCGAGAAAGATTTTATTATAACTTTAAAAAGTGAGAGATACCATAAAGAAATTACTTCTAAACTGCTCTCTTTACAATTTTATTTAAGTAAGATCAAAGGAAATGCTTCTAATTTTACGTTAGTGGATTTTTTCGTTAAAATAGCGCCGTATAAATATTAGCGTATGAGTTATAATGCTTTATTTGAATTAATTGAAAATATAGATTTAAGTATTAAAAAAAAAATTACACTGTAACGAGTCTCTCTTACAGGCTGATCAGCTTCTATTTGAAGCTGATTTCTAAAAATCAATCGGCCGCAAAACCTTGTTTAAATATAGGAGAGAGTTACCTTAATTGGAACACTTTAGGAATAAATATCTATTAACCAAAGATGGCCTAACTATGAAAACATTTATGATTTGATTAATACTAACAGACAACCCTACTACACTTTTAACCATAATTTGACTTAATTGATTGTACTAACAAAAAATTGTGTTAAAGCTTCAACTGCCTTGACGTTCTCTTACTTTATTGATTAAAAATCACTAATTAAAGTATTATTTTTTAGGTATATAATTGTTATTAAGTATTTTTAAATTTTTTTGAACCCTTCAATTTTATTATTAAGTAATGAAAAAGTTATAGTTCCAATCAAGGAAACTGTGGACTATTTTGTAATATCACTGCAATACAATCACAGCATATACAAATGTGTGTGGGAAATCGTTTAATAGAGCGAAGAAAAAACAAAAGTTTAAACGATAATGAAAAAGTATACCAAATGAAAAAAAAGTATAAGAGCTGTTCTAAATCATTGTACTAACTTTTTTACACAAAATGCAGCGTCATGTACTATGTCCTAGAGGATTAAATAGTTAGTGTAGGTGGAAGAATAGTGAAGAAGGAATTGATAAATACAAGCCTAAAGTAAATATTCTTCTATAGATTTATGATGTTATAAAGAAAGATTTTGATGACCTATCTGATAATTCTCTTCTTAAAAAATGCATTCATGGAGGGATACAAAATTGTAATGAAGGACTTAATAACATAAAATGGTCTCAATGTCCAAAAAATGTTACAAGATTTTTGCTTGAAGTGGTAGTTAATCTGAAATAAAAAAAGCTTATTTACCTAGAGGATTTTAAATTTTTTATGCTTTTGTATTTTATTTATCTTATTTCTCAGACCCAATATTAAGATATCAACGTGATATGTTGATATTGGGTCAAGCAGTTTACTTCAAATTTTCAGGAGTTATTCAAAATACCTAAATGAAGGGAATGAATGTAAAATTTTTTAAAAAATGCATTGATTTTTGCCTTTTTAGTGTTTTGACCTAGCTCTACCACCTAAAAATATTGCAAAGAGCAAAAAATCTTAAATAAAAAGGCTAAATGTTGTTTGTTTCCAGAGATTTTAATTCATTACCTTTATTTCATGGGTTGACAGACAATTGCTAAGTTTCAAAACTTAAACATTGTTATAACTTAAAAAATCGTGTTGCAAGTGTAGGTATTAAATACATTATTTTCACGTAATTTCGACAATTTTCTGCTTTTATATGAAAGATCTACATATTTAGCGATATTTACGTTGTAAGAAATATATTTAATTATTTGAAACAAATGGAGGTTTTTAAAGTTTTGTTACAGTTCTGAAATTTTTTTTTTTTTGAGGTTATTCTGTAATCCGAAAATCTCTGCCAAAGGATGAATCCAGTAATGTTCCACAGATTTAAGTGGAATTTTTGTGGTGAGCACGGAGGCAAAAAAAAGTACATTGTTTCCACAATACTCGCATATTAAATAATTCCTAATATAATTTGCAATAAAATGAGATTTAATTTTCTACCATATCTGCGTATTAAATGGCATTTTGGTAATGTGGTTATCAATTCTAAGCAATCGCAGAGTATTTACTGAGGAATGAATAAACAAACAACAAAAAAAGAAAACTGATTAAAAAGATTTGTTGTATTATGCCAAAGTGCTCAAACTACATAGTAGCGGTCCAGCATAACGCAAACAGCAATCATACACCCTATAAAGAGTGAGAGATCAAAAAAACAAAAGGATAAGTAGTTACATTTAACATTAGACTATATTGTTTTGTTCTAAAGAACTTATCAGTAATAAACTGATTTTATGGGACCAAATCGTAGCACTAAAACAAGGAAACTGATTTAAAGCAGTTAAAAATATTTTTGTATTATGCCAAAGTGCTCCAACTAAACAGTAGTGGGCCAGAGTAACGCAAAAAACATTGACAATGTGCCCAGCGGAAAAGGGGGGGCATCTAGGTTAAGGGGGTATATATGATAAATTAATGTATGAAAACAATATAGCCACATCAAACTAATTTATAAGTAGTGTCTTCTAGAATTAAAATAGCATAACTAGTTTTGGTTTTGAGATTTAACTAATTTAACCTCACAATAAATAGATTTTCAAAAATTTGTTCGGTAACGTAACCTTTTTATTCGGTAACTTCACATTCAAAGCTTTCATCGTCATTAAGTATATGAAAAAATTATTTAACTATAAAAACTAAACCATTTTCTGAGATTTCATATAAAATTAAATAAATCCCTACTAAAACAATCTCAACAATTAAAAAAAAAAAAACGATCTCATTATTAGAAGCAAAAACTGCATTTTTTCAAGATTTCAAGTAAATATTTCTTCATTATCTTTGTCAACCAGTTTAATTTAAAAGTTTTTTATGATAATAGAAATACCCAAACTTGAGAATAGGGATTTTTAAAATTTATTGGGTGATGGAACCCTGAATTGGGTATCTAACATCTCCGAAAAAAAAAATTGGCTTCCCGCCACCCCTTTTATGAAAAAATGACTAAATCGGAATTGCAACCGGAAGTTTATGAAAACACCCCTGCAAAACAAAAACATAGTTTAAAAAGTTTGAAATTGTTTAATTCTAAAAGTTTATGGGTAGAATAAATAAAAAAAACTCATATTAGATAAAAAAAATTATTTACGCACCGTGACTATACGAAAATGAAAGTAAAAAATTATTGTTGCAAAACCGAATTTAGATCCACATGGTGATGATGATGATGATGATGATGATGATGATGATGCTGATGATGATGATGATGATGATGATGATGATGATGATGATGATGATGATGATGATGATGATGATGATGATGATGATGATGATGATGATGATGATGATAACTGTTATGATGATCATGATGATAAAAATGTTCATGATTATTATTATGATTGTTTTTATATGCCTAAATATGTACACTAAATATATCATTTATTTTGAATAAAAAAATATTCTTTAGTATGTATAAGTGATTATACAGCTCTGTCTCAAACTTAGCCTCATTTTATCAAATCTAGCATTTGAAGGTATAGTATCATATACCAGCATACAACAGAGCTATGAGTGTTTTACGTAGTTTTCGAAATAAATATGGTACATAGATAACACATCTTTTTCAACATTTTTTGGCGAATTACTACTGTTATAACTGAAAACTAAAGTCATTTACCTTAAATTTAATACCAAATGTTCTCTATAATAAACAATTTGGATTTTGAAAAAAATCACCCTACTGTTCAAGCAATTATTCATCTTGTTCAAATAATTTTTCAGGCATTTCATTAAAATAAATATGCGTAACGTGCTTTTATTGATTTTAGTAAAGCATTTGATACCAGTAAAGCATTTGATATTTTATTTGATTTTAGTAAAGCATTTAATATTTGAAAGTTATGGGATTAAAAATTCGAATACTAAAAGGTTTCAAAGCTATTTGTCAAATAGGAAAGAATACATTTATTTTAGCTGCGGAGAAACTGGTAGTATGAATATAAACAGCGGGGTTCCCCAAGGGTCAACTTTAGGACCACTCTTATTTTTAATTTATGTTAATGACTTAACCAAATCTTTTAATATATTAGACGCTATTTTAATTGCTAATGATACAAACTTGTTTTATGCTCACCATGATATAAAAATAATGTTTAACTTAGTTAACATAGAACTCTTAAAACTTACTAAATGGCTAAATGCAAATAAATTATCAATTAACTTTTTTAACTAATTTTTCTAATAAATTTAACTAAAAAAACATTTTTCCATTCCTTTTATGAACGCAATAAAATCTCCTTCAAACTTATAAGATCATATACATTAACTTGAAGATAAAATCTTGAGAAATATAGGATGACTTTACAAGACGAGGCCTTTATTAAATCAAAGTTGTTTAAAACTGTTTTAAAACTATTTTAAAACTGTTTTAAAACTATTTCTTCTTTAATCATTGTTTTTAAACTACTCAAACAAAGCTTGGTAAAGCACAAATCAAAACAAAAATAAAAAACTCTTTAATAAGCAAAAACATTTATTCAGAATATAATTTAATGTACACCCTTTTACAAACTCCAAAGAACTATTTATAAAGCAAAATATACTTACTGTCTACCAAATAAAAATTTATCATCTTTTAATTTTTATGTTTAAAGTTAATTCAAAAATAACACTTAACATTTTTATTTCGTTATTCATAAAAAAAATAAATAAATAATCAACCAGATGCTCAAGCAACACTTATATTCAGCCTAATATTTTTTTGCAGTAACGGAGTTTTCAAAATCTATTAGAGGGCCAAAAGTATGGAATAAATTTATATTTAATAAACTTATAACACATAAAATTCTTAACAAAATCAAAGTAAAATTAAAACAAATGTTTATAACTAATGACGGTGTGCATGACATCTTCTAAAGTTATCTAGTAGTACAGATATCTTTTTTAATTTGTTTTTTTGTTTATCTTACTAACCTATTGTCACTCTAGGCGAGTCATAACCTATATATTTCAGTATATATATATATATATATATATATATATATATATATATATATATATATATATATATATATATATATATATATATTAAATTTTTAAATGAAAAAAATACGACTTTTTTATGGAACTTCAAGTTTCATGCCATTCGGCAATCATTCAGCCATATATTTAAAAATCATTAAAGTAAAATAAAATATTTATTTTATTTTTATTTTAATGATTTTTAAATATATGGCTGAATGATTGCCGAATGGCATGAAACTTGAAGTCCCATAAAAAAGTCGTATTTTTTTTATTTAAATATTTAATATATTTTGATTTATTTTATAAATATCAATCACTCTTAAACCGACAAAGAGCTGTATTAAATCCAACAGAATACAACACAACTCAATAATAATAATAATAATAATAATAATATACATATATATATATATATATATATATATATATATATATATATATATATATATATATAAATATATATATATATATATATATATATATATATATATATATATATCTTTAAATAATAATACTGAACTTAATAGTAGTAGTACCCTTTCGAGCACGTTTGACATAATACCCAACTCAGCCATTGCAACCGAGGTACTGGCGAGGAAGAGTCGCAGCACCTTTTTATAAGAAAACATTAACGAAAGTGTGTGCTAATAACTAACTTACGTAAACTTCAAAATGTGAAATGTCAAAACATACTAAAACATGTATCAAGTTTTTAAGTTTTACTTTCACTTGAAAACTGCATTGCGGCAACATCTCCTTAAATTTTGACCGATAGCTGTTTTATAAAGTTTTTCGTTAAGTATATATTTTTAAAAATGTCTCTAATTGGTAAGACAGCGTAGCTTCGTGGTCAGCTTGCTGAGCTACTAATCAGGGAAGCCAGGGTTCAACTCCCGTGCCTGGAACTCTTTTTTTAATCTTTTTTGATTTTTTTTAAAATACAAAACTAATCACTTTTGAAGATGTATAGAGATTATATACTTAACAAATGTAAAAGTATTTTACACTTAAACAAACAAAAGGAAGAGAATTTTTAAAGAAAGCTTAAAAGTTCTAAAAACGTCAAAAAACAGGAGAAATTTGTTGCGCTTATTTGTCATGTTATTTTAGTTTTACATTTTAAGTTTTCTCCAACTAAGTTGAGATTATGCAAGAAAAATGGGTATATAACATGTATATATAGAATATAAAATCTATAAAACTATAAAGTGCATTTAAAAAAAAAAAAGCAAGCTGATGAACTTGCCACGCGGCGACCTAAAATTTTTTTAAAACAGTAAGGGGGTTTTAAAAGTATATTTTTATTAAAAGAATAATTCAAAAATTTAAGTTTAGATTTAAAATAAATTATTTTATTAAATTTATTATTTTTTAAAATGAAAAAAAAGTTGAAACTATCTGATATCAAAGTAATAAAAAATATTTAGAGTTTTACAGCTACTTTACTACGCCCCAGTTAAATATTATTAACCGAGTGCGCAACAATGACAGAATTAAGAAAACCATCAAAATAGTATGATACTCCGTATAATATTGGAAGAGTCAACTCGAACGCTTATATCTGATCTGAACTGAACTGCACGAGGCATTGTAAAATGTGTACACAAGATTTTTGTATTTCTTGAAATGACATATTATCTTCTATTATTATTGTCATAAATGATATAGTTATTGTTGTCATAAATTGTTGTCATAAATAGTATAATTATTGAATATACTTATATAAATAGTATGTATTTTTTAATCTGTTTTTAAAATTACTGAACTTTAAATTTCTAATGTTTTACATAATGAAACATTCTGTTTTATAGGTGTTGCATTGATTTTTGACAGGCTGATAATTTTATACAAGCTAAAGACGACCATTTTTTAAATATAAGTAAGTTTTTTTTTTGTTTTTTTTTATTGGTTTTAAATAATTTTATGTAAAATATTCAATTGTGTTTTATATGAATCTAAGTATTTAGTAAAGTGTTATTGTGTGTATGTGTTAAGTGTTACAAAATATTGTTAGTTAATTAAAATTAAATAACAATATTTTGTTTGGTATTTTAATTTTAGTGCCACAGGTTATAACATATTGTAGGTTTTAATTTCTAATTTTTCTTCATCTTTAAAACTGATTAAGAAAAACATTATTTTTTGCTAATGTGATTGTGTTATTCTATTTTATGAGATATTTTACTAATAATTTGATTGCTCTAAATTATATTTACTTTTTCGATATTTATTTTAGCCAATTAAGTTGTAACAATCTCTGCAAGATTAAAATTAGGTTTTATAAGGATGTGGGCCCTTATCAATTGAGATAAGAGCCCACATCCTATAGTGTACATAGAGTGTGGGCCCAGAACAAGAAAAAAAGGTTTCCCCTTATTAAAGAGGAAGAGAATACTCTTATCTAAAGTTGTTGAAAAGATGTACATCCTGTTTCTACACTAAACACCATCAATATTTTAGTCAGCAGAACATGCAAAATATTAAAATAATTTGCTGCTGTGGCCGTGTTTATGATTCTCTGTGTCAGAATAATACTTTGTTTTCAGTTTAGATTTTGTGAATACTTTAAATTGCAGTTAATAATTATTATTATAATAATCAACAATAATCACTGATTTAGGGGGTATCTAATAAGTACTTACAATAAATTTGTGAAAGAACTTCAAAATTGCTTTTTCACTCTGTATGTTTTTAATCGATAAGTCTATTTGTTCATTGATGTGTCCTTATCTGTTATTTTTTTTAATAAGAGGTTCTTATTTTTAATAAAAAGAAATATTCTTTTATTGTTGTTGTTTGTTTGTTTGTTTTTATAATTTAACCTTTTCTCATGATGGTAGAGTTATTTTTCATGTTTAACTGCATTTTAATTTAGTTGAATTTTATTTTTTTCTTTAGTTTTACTTTAGTGCTCTACCAACAATCATAAATTTACTTTATCTACAATAAAATATGGTTTTAACTTTTGTCATTTAAACTTTACTATGTTGATCATTACCTAATAGTGTAAAAAAAAAATTAGTACGTCGCAATCAAGGTTAGAATAATTTTTTTTTCTATTCTGTTGCTGTTTGTTTACAAACATTAAATACTTTTTAGTTTTCAGGTTTTTTAGTTTTTCTATACATTGCAAATTAGTTTCTATGTTATTGTTAATAAATTTTTTATTCTATTTAGAACATTAGAAAAATCAAATGTTAAGCAAAGTGCCATTATAATACATTTCTGTTTTATTATGTCAGTTAAAAAATTTATTTATTTTTTTAATTTTTTTTTTTTTTTTTTGCTTTCACAGGATCAGTGTCAAGTAATGTGTTTTGCATACTTATGTATTTTTTGGGTTTTCTGTGTATTAAAACTGAAACATATCATCTTTATATAATTCTATAACTCAATAGTAGTAGTTCCCTTTCGAGCACGTTTGACACAAAACCCAACGCAGCCATTGCAACCGAGGTACTGGCGAGGAAGAGTCGCAGCACCATTTTATAAGAAAACATTAACGAAAGTGTGTGCTAATAACTAACTTACGTAAACTTCAAAATGTGAAATGTCAAAACATACTAAAACATATATCAAGTTTTTAAGTTTTACTTTCACTTGAAAACTGCATTGCGGCAACATCTTAATTTTGATCGATG